AGGACTGTCTTTTGAGTTGCACAGCACACAGCATCTCCATTTCAACCAATCTATTCTAATTGTAGGATCATAACAGGTTTTTTATTGATCTATTGGTCTATGACTTTATCAAATATCCTAAATATCTAAAATAATGACAGCTATCATCACAAGTTATAATGTGGAACACTGCTCGTTTTCTTATTCTAAATATTACAGATAAAACCATAAGACATGAGAAATTCAACTGGCAACTCAGTGGCTAAGACTGTTTTGATCAATGTCTTGCACCATATTGCAGCTGTTTAGACACTGGACCTCTTACATAGCAGATACTAGATACCCTTCACCTTCATTTGTTCTGTTATAACAAAAATAAAGCATATGGTTGTAGAGAATAATTTCTTGTGTTGTTACCTTGCCTTAGATACAGGGATAAATCAGCTTTTTTGATAAATTACTATTACTATTACTTGATTGACATGATTTGGATTGTTGAAGCTAATAAGGTTTGTGTCATATATTAAATATTTGTATCGTTTATTTTAATTTTTGGGCAACGCAACCAGAGCTTCCAGTTCAATAGCTTTTTGTGGGCATTATGCTATCTCAATTTACATTGACTCTAATCTGAGGCTTTGGTGACCAATTCTAAACTTCTGACTGGTGGCACTGTGTGATTTAGACACTGGCCTCCACAGGTGTGGCAAGTGATCTGAGGGATGAGTGAATTCTTCCTGAGTAATGGTAGCCATGATTTGCTCCCCATGTTGCCCTGCTCAAATCTTCCCCTTCCTGTTGTCTTATCTGAGCATCCAGTGCAACCTAAACCAGGGTGCGGTGCCTCTGTTCCTCCATTCCCTGTGCAGCCGGTCCCCATTGCTGGTTTTCTCAAATGTCACTGTGAAGAGAGAATGACCCAGTTGAGTTGGACTGACTGACAGAGTCCTGACACCCCATTGTAGGCACCCTGTCTCAACCTGCCACCCACAGCTTCCCACCTTCTGACCTTTGTGGCACCAAGGGCAAAACAGGCAAAGGCATTCAGCTATGCAGTAGATCCACGAAGAACTTTCTTTGTTTTTATAATGGAAATTGAAAAGCATTGATTCTTCTTCCAGACTCAAAAGTAATTTAGATTTCCTTAAAACATTTTTAAAGACGTAAGTGGTAAGTGGTAGTGGACGGAGAGTAGATTAAAAAAGTAGAGACTTAACATAGATTGTGTAGAGACAATTTATACTTCTCCAACTGTCTGGATTTGATTAAGCCAAACAGTCCACCAGCATCAAGCCAAGCATCCTCTTTAACACTGTAACTTAAAAAAAAACTGCAAATAGTTACGAATCTGACCACTGAAGCTAAAATGCACAAAGATGTTAGATGTGTTCAGCAGCGTATCATAGAACCAAGCAGTCATTAAGGATATGCACACTGTGTATAATAACTTTGCCACACCGTGCTTATTTATGTGCTAACCCAAACTTCATTACTCCATAGAATAATAAGGCTTGTTTAAAGTAAAATCATTGACCAAAGCCAAATTGACACTTACTTAAGCTTGATAAACTGTTATTTTCCTGGCTTAATTCTCTGGTGCATGGTAACTTGAATAGGATTTGAATCATTTGTGAATCATCTATCATTTGCATTCCTGCCAAATACGCTATAAACATGTTTCCGCATGTGTTCATTCCATAGCTGATCTGCCAAACAGCAGTCGAAGGCTGCTGAAAGAAGGCTTATCTCACAGCCTTCTATGAAAATATATATATTTCTTTTTTATGGAATGTGGAATCAAAGGAATCTGCGATAAATTAACTGGATATTGCATTTTTTTTAAATGATTATTTTGGCCAATGTCCGATGCTGTCAATTTTTTTTGTTCATTCACAAAGACAGGAAGTTTTGTGGGGAAAAATCTGATTAACTGAGTGCGTGTGTGTGTGGGTGTTTTTGTGTGTTTGTGTCTGAGTATAGCCACCAAACTTTGAATGTGTGTGTAGACTTGCAGACCTTAGCTCAGCTCGGAGATGTAATCTGATTTGCAGAAAGGAACGGGTCGTTTCACATGACTGGTTTAAAGGACCGCTGGCGCAAGGTTGTGCCAGTGTCCCTGACTGATTTGTGTGTGTGTGTGTATGGATATATGTACTTCAATACTTGTGTGTATACACCTACAAGTATTAATTTGTTTTCACAAAGTGCAACGCAGACATGTGATCATTTGCTACTATAGGCTTGCCTCCACTAGAAAAAGAGAGGTGTTGAAGTTTGCAATGTGGTCAAACACACCAGAGTTTTGCTTTTATTCCGTTGTTCTTCGGTTTAAACACGGTTTATTTGCAGAAATAAAGCCACCACTAATTAACAGTCAATTACACATCTGGAAAAAAGCAAAGCTCTGCTACAGACTCGGATGAAGGTTTTGTTTGCAGCTTTCTGTTTACACATCTCTTATAATCAGAGCTTTATTTTGAACTAATGGACCATCAGAAATTATATCAAATAATTGAAATCATCCTGTAGCCTGAGCCCTTTTTACAAGACTGCTAGGATTAAAATCCCCTTAAAGCTTCCCCTATGAATCTGCTGGGTTGTTTTTTTTTTTACATAAATAGAAAAAAAATGTTTATTGACGTTTTTGTGGTCGAGATTCTCAGATGGGTTTTTTTTTTTTTGAGCTGGAAGAGGTCCATCATGTGATTTTCATTGGAGAGTGGCCGGAGGAGACGACCACAATAAAAACAAGTGAGCGTGCATGAGCGTGTGTTTGTGTGTCATCTGGCCTTGTTAATAACTGCAGGTTGTTTTCCATCTCGAGGTCGTCAACTGCGGTCATGGCATACACAAATGGAAGAGAGGAGGCCCTAGGAGGTGATATCAATGAGTGCTCCTGGGAGTGTCGTGTAAATGCATGCACAGGTCTTGTGAGTTTCTTAGTAATTGTGCTTCTGAGAGTTTGTGAGAGTTGCAAGTGTGTGTGAAAGTGCTGTTGCTTGAAAGTGTTTTCCTGTGTGTGGAGAACTCATAAGCAGGATGATGTAGCAAGCAGGAAGCTCTGATCCCAATAGGCGTGTCAGCAGGAGTAGTTTTTCATAAGGTAGTAATCTGACCAGACAAAGGGGTGTCCAATATTAAAGAGAGCCCCTACCCCTGAGCTAATCAAGACCTGACCAACCCTTCTGCTGGCTCACCAACTCTCTAAACATTACCTCATCTGGAGGCTTAGCCTAGCCACATGCAGCTCCAGTCTGCTGGTGTACATGATAACTCACTTAGCACAGTATGATAGCTAGAAAAAAACGGAAATATAAGAAAGGATATAAAAGAAATGGGACCAGCACACAACTACCTATGGTGCCTAGTGCCAGGGAAAGGTATTTTAAAAGGCAGAGGAAAGAAAGAATCATTTTACCATGTCCTCCAGAAACTCTGGGAAGCAATTTGCCGGTATTCAGTTTCTCTCCCCACCGTCCTGTTATTGCTGTTTTCCCCTCAACTCTTGGAGCCTTCAACCTGAAAAGGAGAGTTTTTTTAGTTTAGGCTTTGTGTCACTTGGAAACAGTGCCTTTGTTGCCAAGGCAACAGTTCTGGGACAATGAAACTCAGAAGCAGAGAGCGCCTTTGTCTTGGAATGGATGAAGAGTGACCGACGCTGTCTTTGGTCCAGCCTCTTAACGTGTTTGCATGTGCTGTAGAAACCTGCAAGAGTCTTGATTCAGTATCTACCTGAACCTCTTGACCTCATAAAATAAAACCAGCACACCAAATAAATTTTAAATGTTACAATGGAAAAGCTACTTTTGCTACTTAAATTTTCCTGGGATGCCAGGTTTTGCAGAGCTCCCCTGAAACCCTAGATTTACACTAAGCAAAGATGAAATGTAGATCTCAGTTTCTAATCCGGATTTGACTTTTTTTAGTTTCTGCGAAAGTACTGCTTTCACTTATTTTTATATACAGTCATGCATATATGAGTCATTTTCTGCTTTTGTTCTTTTTCATATGGTTAACTTCTACATGTACAACATGCTCACAAATTTCAGTTATTAGAGCTAACAAACGATAGTGCCCATAGACTCCATATAAAAGAGGCTTTGGCTTACCATGTTAAATTTCTTGAGCTTAAAGTTGCTATGTTTAGGCCAGAGAGTAATTCTGAGCTATTAGTTATCAGCTAATGCTAGCAAGCTAGGATAGCAAGCTACATCTGTCAGCTGTATGGGTCCATTTCACAGACAGAGATATCAGAGGTGTACTGGGGTTTCACTCACAGGCAGTGGAGCAAAGAGCAAAACTCTGTGCACAGATTGTGCAAACTCATAGCAGGATATTATTTCTCCCATTCAGTGAATTAGCAGAGGTAAAGACTAGAAAACCGGTACTGCCTTTAGCTGCCTATGCCAGCTGCTTAACCCTGAACATGCTATTAAAAAAAAAAAAAAAAACTTCTACATACTGCAGCTTTTTTGGCTCTAATTTGAAATATAATTTTGCATGAGTAAGTGGGACTTTCCCTAAATGAGTCAAGTCACTTATGATCTGTATGTCTGTGAGAGACCTGTTGTTTTTACAGACACTGGAGAGGAAGCAAGTTGTCTTATGTACTATTCATTTATTTTAAAAAGATAAAGTGCACATGGCCTGTAATTCTTATTGTACTGTTGTTTCCTTCTCTCTGTTTTTTCTTGTTATAATATTTAGAGGCCAAAATGGGAAACCATATAATTAATTATAGGAATATTAACATAATCCAAATCAGTTCAAGCAAGTGTACTAAATGATTTCATTTTAACACCCAACAAGACTCAGATTATACAACACTGCGGGTTAATCTTGTGGCATCTGTAAATCAAGGGAACATTTGGCATTACTCATTTACAGTTATCAAAGTTTCTTAATACAAGTTTGGGCAGTGTTGGTCGAGATAAAATATGGCTCCAGTTTTTTTTTTCTTTTGTCTTATATGTGCACCTCTCTCTGAATCACTTTATTTCGCCATTCTTTATCTTTTTCAGATGATCACCAAGAAGGGGCTGAGTAATGGAAACATGACCTCAAGAGATTCAACAGGTAAGATTCTGTCTTTTGTTTGATCTTAAAGCCTAGGAGTACGTGATTACACACAGTGTCGTCTTATGAGGAGCAGCGACCGTTGCTATAAACAACCACAGTATGGTATGTTGACTAAATAAACAGAGGAAGAAGTGGTAGTTCACATATATGAGAGATGTGATCAGGGTGGTGCCACTGGATTCATGCCCGTGTTCTTGCTGTTTTTTTTTATTGTGTAACCCAAGTCATGACAGCACAGTAAAGAATGCAGGGACACAGAGATATCACTTCAAACACAACTTCTCTCAGGAGCCTCAGATCCTTTCAGTGGAACTGAATGAAGATATGCTTTGATGGCCCACCACAGAGTCGGTGGCTTTCAAAGAAACCTGTTGATGGGATTGCACAGTGCACCCAGCCAACTGAATGAGTGGTACTGTATTTGTGCCTCTCAGGATACTCCTGGGTGTTCTCATTGGAGGTCAGATCTGCTTGACCTCAACATGAGTAGTCATTTTCTGTAGATTTTTTGGCTTGCCTTATCTTTTTTTTTTCTTCCCTTCCATCTTGTTCTCTCACCAAATGGAGAACTGTGTATGGATGGCAGGGTGCCAGCAGACAGGTACAGTAGATGTGCTGATGAGGGATGGTGATAGGGGCAGGCCTCAGTTGCAGCCTCGGGCAGAGAGAGACATACACAGGCAGGCGTAGACTCAGAGGCAGGTTGAAACCTGGTGCTGTATGCTGATGTTTCTCTGCTTGGCTGTGCTCCAGGGTGAGGCATGTGAGAGAAACGTGGGAAGGGAAAATCCAGAATGGAGGCCAGAAGAGATGCACAAAGTCAGGTAAAGGAAATCTGTCCTCCTTTGCCTGATTTTCAAAACTAAAACCACAATCAAAAAAAGAAGGGTAGCTAAGAATGTGTAGTGGTAACAAAAAGTGAGAGCGGGAATAGGCGCATGAAGAAAGAGTACAAGAATGAGGCTATACTGTACGCTGATGGAACGTGACTACTCACAGGTAAACCAACTCAGAGGTGCAGACAAGCAGAAAGAAGATAGGAAACATTGATAGATGACTGCTTATCCTCTGACATGTTCCTTCCCCGGGCAAAGAACAAGCGGGGCAGGCCCGTCCTGCCACTTTTCTGCCATAAAACATGCAGGGTTGAGTGGGTGGTAGACAACGTCATGTCATTTTGTGGAGGGTAAAGCAAAGCCTGGGTTGTCAGGAGAGCACCTCTGTGTATTATGTCATCTTAAAAGCAGATGTTGAAGCCAGATTAGATGAGAATTCAGAAAATAATTCAGCTGTTCAGCTGCTTATTAAGCAATTTGCTTATATTTCTATCTTTAGTCTTAAAGATGGACTTATCTTTCTTTTCTTTAATGAAAAATAGTTAGCTTCATTTGCATGATTACCTGGCCTGGTACGCTGTATCCAACAAAGGCATCTGGAGTTAGCCAACACACCATAATGTGATAATGAGGCTGTGGGTAATTCTTCTTCTCAGGCCCATTTCTTTTGTCAGCAGTTTTTTGAAAAGAGCCAGTTCTGTTCTGCTAAAGTAATCAGCTGCGCAGTAGTTGATCAGTTTTGATGTTTTATTAATTTAATAATTATTTGACGTAACTTTAAAAAACGTTGACTCAACATTTTAAGCAAAACATCGTTATAAAGGATCCAATACTTATCTTTTTTTTTCTTAAGCGTGGGTATGAGAAATGTCTCAATATTCAAGTAAGTGGTTTTGGGCTCCAGTCAGTCATTAGTTTCTGTATTATGTTTCCAGGATCATACTAAATCCCGGTTTGGACTGTTGGACCAGCATCCTCTGAAGCAGATGTTTGCTCCTGGCAAGGCTGCCGACAACATGAGCTCCAACACTGGCAATCTAGCTCTCAGGATTCAGTGAGCAGCGTGAGCTTGGAGGAGCTATGACATAAACGCAGCAGGACGGTGAATCGCGTTTTGCTGCTCAGACATCATGGAACAGATCAGTCAGCCCCATCTGGAGAAGTGCTCTATAGAAGAGTCATATATTTACCATAGTTACTTTGATGGATACAGCATGTTGTTTGACTTTATTTTTCCAATTGATTTTAATAGAAATGATAATTTCCCGCCATCTATGTATCTTCTCTTGTTTTGCAGATTTTAATTACAGTGTCGCTCATTCAGTAACTTCAGCATTTACTGTGTAATTTTTGTCAATTTTTGTAATGTGACTGTTTTCAAAGTGGCTCTTCTAAAACTGCATAAGAACGTTTATCCAGGGAGGAGCACAAAAAATGTCTCCTACTGTGTATAAAGACTTAATGCACATGTGATTGAGATTAATCAGACGAATCACTCAGTCAGTGGATATGTGATTTTCATCTTCGACAAAGAAGCCATTGTCATTAATGTAAAACCATGAATTGTCCTTCTTACGCTGTATTTTATTGTGACACATTGGCAGCTTCTGCTAATTTCAGTTAATAATCCTGTCAAGCAGTTTATTCTCATTATGATTTATGACTCCATAGCTTTTGTTGTTTTTGTTAAGCCCTGTTAGCAGAAATTAAAAGGTGTATCCAAGCTGCTGTTTGTTTGTGTTGTCATTCCAGATACATGAGATAAATGGTTGGATGTTTCAGTGGTGTTCATTGTTACGGTTATTCATGCTGGCTTCCTTACTAGTTAGGCCAGTATGTGCTAGTCTAGCATTTGAGGAATAAATGGGGTGTTATCTTTTTTTTTTTTCTTCAAAGGAAGACAAGGTAAAGGTGAACTTTACAGTAAAAATGTAATATGTTACATTTAAACTGAAACAGTGATTTTTAATAGTTTTACTGGCAATCGCAACATACTGAATGTATATTTTTGGTTGATGTTACAATGTAATGTGTAAATGCATCACTTACTATAATCACAAAAAAATTGTAGAAGTAACAGTAAAAAGATGACATCATTTTGCTGAGTTTACACTCTACAAACGTGTCACGTATGATGTTGATGGAGAAGTGCTTAATGTCACATAATAGGTCAACGTGTGTCAAAATGCAGGGAGTTTCCAACCATACTGTGGAAGAAATCCCCACAGATCCCTCGTCTTGTCCCAAAAATATTCAACATACGTCGCTAATGCATGCATTGTTTTCATTTAGTCTGAGTGACTTCAGCATTTCAGCAGTGACTTCCCATTCAGCTGTCTTTCGCTGTCATTTCTGTTACGATTCAATAAAGTCTGCGTCAGGGTGGGTGGGAGCTAAGGGCCATGTGGGGAGAGGGAATGGCACATAGGTGAAGGAGTGTATAGTTGCTAAGGGTGTAATTATTCCTCAAGGGGTTACTTATTGTTGTCCTTGCCTCAGTGATAAAACAAAGCTGACTGGGCAAGTTCCATTACAGTTTGTTCAGGCTTTTATTCTAGTGCTTGACAACTTGTCTCGGGCATCATAGGAATCATATTAAGACTCAAATTTGAGGTGGACGAGGTCATAGCCGTCTGGGAAAAAAAACGACAAGCGGGATAAAGGCCCCGGTGGTGATGTTTTGGAAGTTGAGCTTTGTGACATCTTTATGGCCCTGCTTATGTTCAACAACATTAGCATGTCCACAATGCACTTCTCTGCTTGTCTGCCTCCCCCCTTTTTTCTCTCCTCCCTTTTCTCACACACATACACATTTACACAACTCAGGGGGGAAAAAATGACCTCTCGGCAGCTCTCAATTCACTGCACTTCTATAGCCTTGAATGGACCGGCTCAACAAAAGGTGACATAATTTTCTCAGGGTTTGATTGGCCCCCTCCATGCCACAAGATGACATCATGCGAGCCTCCCCCTCAAACACTCTACCACCACCTCCAGCACTATCACACAACCCCCCCTCTGTTCTTGGATGCTGTGTTACCAAGACAACAGAGCTAGGCCCAGGCCATGGGGCAGGACTTGGCAACGTATTGCAGCTTGGCTGTCCATAATAAGCTCAGGCAGCGTTGCTGTTGTGTTTGTGGTAAGCAGTCTTGGGAAATGATACGGGGGAGACGGGAAGAAGGGATGGGATAATGATAGGTTGCCTTTTCATTCAACCTCTCCTCTACATGGAGTATTTATGTAGCTATCAGCATCAGGAAGTATTTCAACAAGAAGTGTCAAGTCACAAACCTTTGATGTGAAGATTCTTGTCAACTAGTGAACTCTTACAACTTGAAGCCTCCACATGGTTCTGGTATAAGGTTTACTCTGTCTCCATTTATATTCAAGTTCAAGGAGAGAGTATGTGCCCACAAGGCATGGCTAATTTGCTTTTATTAATTACAGATTTTTATCCTGTAAAAATACGTGATGATTAAAATACATGATTTTTCAAAGCTGTACTTTGTACTTGTTGCCTTTAAAAAATAATAATGTCAGCATATGTATTCCGAATTTGACATAATATGACACTTTTTCTAAAACTGTGGGCAGTGGTGGTATTTGTCATTCCACTGGTCTATGACATCAAATAATACATCCTAGGCTCTCACACAGAATCAGAGCCAGAAAATCTGCTGGCTGCCTATGGCTCAGCTCTGTAAAACCTGTGTCCTTAACTAATGAATGCCACTTTTCATACTGGTATGCATCCAGAAATATTACAGGCCCTGTATACCAGACTATCACACACATACAAATGACCATTTCCCCTTGGAATTGTCATTAATGAGGATAATTTGAAGGTGGTTGACATACAGCTCTGAGCCAAACCTTGTTGGTTCCAAACTCTCCTGCAGCACTGATGCCTTTCAGCACGCTCCAAACCATTTCCTCAAATTGGTGCTGTATCCCAAGAAAAAATGACACAATTACCACTTGGTCTTGGAGAGAGTCCATGCTTCATGTTGAACATTACATATTGCACAAAAGAGTCGTGTGACGCATGTGCCTCTGCTGGTACGTATTGATTTAAATAGTCAATATAAGGTAATTTTTTTCCTTCTTTCCATGCAGGTTTTTGTCTTTATCGTGCCCATCATGTAAAGTCTCTTACCCATTTTAAAGTGCTCCTCTCTCTAGTTTTCATACTTTGCCTTTCGTCTTTCCTGTGGTGTGATGTGATTAACTGTGGTGCACAGGGTTGGCCCCTTTTTGGACTTTGTTGGACGAAAGCAGCTTTAGTGGGTTTTTGAGCTTGGTTGAACACCGACTGGGTATCGGTTACCTCTGGCATGCCGAGGATGCGTGGGCTCCCAATGTCCATGACGTCGATCCGCTCAGCTTTGCTTGCAAAAAAGAAATGGTGGGAATCTGCTATACCCTGCCCTTTCTCCTTATTTTCCACAATTGTTCTTTTATGGAGAGAACCTATTTCCAACAGGTTTTCACGTGTCATGGGATTTACCTTGAGTGTATTTTGGCTGTATTTTCCCAAGTAAGAACTTCATCAATAAAACGACTTCAAAGTGAGAGTGACATTAAGGTAACAGATACTGCACAACTTATTCACTGTGACAGCCTTGACTGGACTGGAGGGGTGACTCAGATAAGGTGGTTGCATGGCAAACCATCCTTCGGTCTGGGCAAGCACCATCTATCATCCTCTCCATCACTTGCCTCTCTTACTCACTCCTAATCCTCATTGAGTAGGGGAAGGAGAGACTCGGTAAGCAGCAGAGGATGAGGAGGAGGGGAGTGACAGAGCAGGCCAAAGGCTCCACTGACATCCATGGGAATCTGCAGATCCATTCAGTGGTAATTATCAGCATCAATGCAAAGAGGCAGTGGCAAGGCAAGGGGTGGGGGCAAGGGGTGTGGGAGAGTTTTGGGGGTGGGATTGGGGAGAAGGAAGGGGGTTGGGGGAGGGTCGGTCAAGGATAGAAATAATGGTGCAGATCCAAGAGTGAAAATGAGAAGAGGCGGTGAATTAGAAAGAATTGTGGGTTTACTTCCAATTATGGTAAATATGACGTGAGCTTCATGTTATGAGAAAGCACATGTTGATTCAAGGCAACATTTCCCTTTAGCTTTCTGGAAAAGTGATTACCATAATATATTTATACGACTATCTGTAACAGACATTTTATTTCTCTGATTAAGTCACTTCTCACTTTGTTTTTGGTCCAGGTCAGTGCTTTTATTTAATTACTGTCAGTGGAGATTATTTAATTTACTTAGACTTAAATTAAACCATTATTCAATTTTAAAAAATGCTTTCAACTTCTTGCTAAGGGCACATCTGCAATCTGAAAGTTTTTTGTATGTACAGTATTTTTTTAATTGATGTTTTAGAAAGAAAAAAGGTTGCATGGACATATATGAGCCAGTGTAAAGTGAAGGAGCATGGCAGAAGTTCTCAAGTCCAGGATGCCAACCCTCTTCCCTTCCTACATCATACATCACTCTGACAGGCCATTTCACTCCTGGATTCAGAATCCAGGCTGAGAGACCACCTCAAACACTCTGGGCTTGTCACCGCATGGTGAGAACGTCACTCCCAGGCCACTGAACACCACGTTTGAACTTTGGCCAGCTGGCAGAGCCGAATCTGTTCAGCTAAGAAAATTATGACAAATGATTGTTTTTTTTTATTCCCTTTCCTAATTTTACACAGAAAATCTGAAAATTTTCCAGCAAAGGGAGATTCACCGCATCAGCTCTGGGTGACCTTTAATGACTTATAAAGAGGAAGAATCAAATTTAAATGGAAAAGACTAAAATTTTTGGGCGTCAGTTCTCTCAAACAGTGTTGCTCATTCCTTTTCTCTGTGGAGAAAAGGTCAAGTCAAAGGTCAGGTCAGCACTTGTCTTCTTCGTTAGAAAGTCTGGTGATACTCTGGACTTTACCAAAAGAAACATTGTCAGCTAGAGATGTTTCATTATGCCTCTGATGAATTTAGAAGGATGGTGTCAACCTGTCAGCTCCAAGGATAAATGATGTCTTAATGTCAAGCTGTCAGAAAGAGGTATCGTAAAATATGGTGAGAATGCTCAGAAAAAAAAGGCACTGTGGTCAGACTTCTCCTTAGAGGTGTGTGGTAAGTTAGGGTAAAAGTAAAATTCCCCTAAAAGCACATGTAGTCATGTGTTGTTTATTTACAGTTTATAACGTTTTATAAGTGCTTGAGAAAAAAAAAAGATCACTTCCTTTTTAAATGGAAGAAACATCACGTTTGAATCCCAGGTAAAACACCTTTTTTTGTTTGTTTGCTTGTATGTTAGAAATTTCTATGACGTTTCTTGACTCAACAAGAAACAAAAACAGGTTCATGTTCCTCATCATTAAAGGTGGTTCTTGAAGTCTTTATAATCAACCTTTAAGACTGGATTTTCTGTATACACAAGAAGGAAGCTAATTACTTCCTGAAAATAGTAAATTTACCATTTTTTGTTGCGTAATTAAAAAATATTGTGGGATCTCATTTCGTTGTAAAAACCTGCATGATGGTTTTCTACCTCCCACACACGCCCACCAAAGCAGTCCTCTTTGGTCAGGGAAAAAGAGTGACCCTGTGACACACACACACCCAAAGTTCCTTTTTACACACAGCACTTGAATTTCATTTCCTGACATGTAAAGCTAACAGAGCGGCGCGGAGCAGCGAGAATTCA